AGGTATGAAAGTTTTTTTTTCAAAAAAAAAAAATTGTTAAAGCCACATGTGGTAAGTGCAACACGAACATAGATGGAAAAGTTCAACCACTGTTATGAGTAACCATTTGAAGTTACAACATATTGATATCTAAATTAGGATCAAGAAAAAATTATCGAGTAAATAATATTCCTAAGAAAAAACAAAAAAAAATGAACAATTACTGTTTGGTAATTTGTTAAAAAAAAAAATCTGCGATCACAGCAATCAATAAATCTCAAGCTATTGTTGGTTGTGTGAAACAAAAAGGATATAAATACCAAAAAATCCGACAACTATTTCAAAGTGTATCAACAGCTTTTATAAAGAATACGAATTTAACTTTGGGAAAAATTAAAAAATTATAAAATACAAAGCGTAAAATTGCAATTAGAGTGGTCGAATAGGCATATTGCACTATTTTACGTTATGTAAACGTAACAGCTCATATGCTTGGAGTAGACTAAAATACACTTGAATGCTATATTCTGGGTTTGACGGAAATAATTAACCAGGCAAATGCAGAAAAAAAAAAAAAAAATTGGTTAAAGCTAATTTGGCAACTCTGGAACTTTCTTAAAAAATGATGTTATTGCATCAATTAACGATGCAGCAGTAGTATTTGACATTCTGTTAGGTATTTTAAATCAACTTTGCTATAATCACGCGCTAAATTTAGTAGTGGTGGATTATTTTCATATACCAAAATTATATTCCCGGTGAAATGTTTGACAATATATGTTTAAAGATTTAGTTGATGATGATATGGAAGAAAAATAGAAGAAGATTTAATAGATGATCAGTACTGTGACTGCAATTTAGACTTTGGTAAAGAAAATGAGTATACTATGACATTGAATACTAACTTTGATCAAATTATCACCAACTAAAGAGGTGTTATAACAGTGGCGGATTCAGCATAGGGTGTGGGGGGCATCCACCCCTCCTCCCTCTCTTTCTCATTACAAAATTCTGCATTTATTTAAATGGATATAAAAAACTAGGTAACAGCAAAAAACTTACAAAGTTGCCCACAGTAGCAGTGAACAAAACAGAAACGTTTTTTTCTAAAAAAATATCTCTTATAGTCATAATGTACACAATGGATTTTAACAATTGTGATTTGTGATTGGTGGATTTTAACAGTTGTGATTTGTGATTGGTGGATTTTAACAATTGTGATTTGGTGTATTGGTGGATTTTAACAATTGTGATTTGGTGTATTGGTGGATTTTAACAATTGTGATTTGGTGTATTAAAACAACTGTGAAAAGGAGAAAAAACAAAAAGTTTTCAATTAACTGATTTCAACATTGTGGAGCAATTCAGATTTGTTTTTATATGTTAAAAATGTTTTCGGCAAAAATCTGTATTGCAAATCTCCCTACTTAAAACCTACTCGCGCCGTCCCTTTTTCAATGGTGTGTATGCATCAATATCTCCAGTAGTGAGACATTGATTGATGATTTATAGTTCACGACTGAACTATAAATGAACGGCGTACATCCATTCTTAATAGAGAAATAGATGACACCATATTTTTCTAACTTGTTTTTACTCTACAAAAACAACACCAGAAAAAAATTTGTATTAACTAAGAGGAGAGTAAAGATCTTTCTTAATGCTTTCAGCATTTCAGTAATATGTATTATGTAAATATGTATTATGTAAATATGTATTATGTAAATATGTATTATGTAAATATGTATTATGTAAATATGTATTATGTAAATATGTATTATGTAAATATGTATTATGTAAATATGTATTATGTAAATATGTATTATGTAAATATGTATTATGTAAATATATCTTTTTAACGATAATTGTTAACCAAAGTTAACTCAAGCTTTAGATTGTTTAGTGTCTTAGAGATACATAATAGTTAGGATAGAAGGCGCATAAAAGCAATAATAATTTATTTTTATCACAAGTGCGATTCTCGAAAAACTATTTCTAGGGGTAATGTGCCACCTCTAACCCTTGTTGCTTCCTAATCATTTCCATGGCCCCCCACAACACTAAACCTTACTGCGTTATAAGAATTTTTAATAAATCGGCTACATAGCATTATTTTGCAACAAAATATAATTAGAATAATGGTGGAAAAACTCAAGTTGAAATTACACAAAAAAAACTCGATGGAATTCCTTGAGTGTAATGTTTCGGCAATTTTTAATTCTAGCGGAATGTATTAACAAATCGTTAATTGGATTAAATTTTTCTTCCATTTCAAAAATTGATATTTTTGCGCTACGAAACCTTGTTAATGTTCTTGTACCAGTTGAAACTGTTGTTATTAATGTTTTTGCACTTGTTACTGAATTGAGGAAAAATGATGCAAATCTTATTACAGCTAAAAAAATTTACAATCTCTTGTTTGATAAGTTGCAATCAATGTAAAATTGTATAGCTAAAAAACTGATACATGCTTTCAAAAAAAAGGATGTACTAAATAAGAGATCCAGATTTAATGACTGATAATTTATCTACAGAGCGAAACCAAGTTGTAACAAACATTTTAAATATTTCTCAACAAATGCGACAATTTCATTCGTTATTAAAATTATAGAACAATACATTCACAAATGCTAATAGATGAACATGTCAATATTAATAATGTTGCTAACTCTTAATCACCCTTCGCAGATGATGACAAAAAGAACTGCAAAAAGAACTCCAAAATGCAATAAGCTCAATTTCAGATCCACATAAGACACAAAATCCTTAAATATTAAAATCCTTTTCGAGTATTTTGATATTTTCATATTTTTTTATTCGAATAGTTGAAAAGCTCAAGTAGTAGAATAAGTAGTTGAATGGTCTTGTCACCACACAGTTGAAAAACATTTTTATTGCACTGGGTTTATATTCTTAACTATTATCTGCTTTTTTCGAATATACTAAAACGTTTATATATTATAAAAGTAATATGATTATTAAAAAAATTGAACATCTGTTCTCTTATTTTGACTAAATTTTAAATTGATAAAATTTCATGAACATGAGCAAAAAATCTAAAAATTTGAAGCATTTAAAAGAAATTAATGCATCAAATTTTCAAAGCATAGGTTAACATAGCATAAAAAATTGTTTAGTTTCTGAAGAATATACATAAGATCGGTGTATAAAAATAAATAATAAATAATAGAAAAATTATATATATATATATATATATATATATATATATATATATATATATATATATATATATATATATATATATATATATATATATATATATATATATATATATATATATATATATATATATATGTTTCATGCTAAATGTAAAAAAAACTGATTTTTAAAAGTAATTCTGTACAAGAAAATATAATGAAAAAAAAAAATAATGAATTTAATATAAACAAACCAATCAGCTTGCAAACCTCGGTTTCATCAAAACCAAATTCTACCCCTCCATCACACCTACTCTACTGAAAAATGCTTTAATGTTCGCAAAACAATATATAATAATTAGAAAAGAAAAAATAAGAACAATCAAACATTGCAGAAAGTCCTTGTTATTTTTTAACAACGTAACTTGATATATAAAAAATATAGGGAAAACTTTTTTACAACTGATCGACAAACACTTTCAAAAACCAAATCCGCTTCATAAATTGTTTAACCGCAACAAAATAAAAGTCAGCTATAGCTGCACCAACAACATAGCAAAAAATATAAAGAATCATAACAATAAAATTATTTCAATGAAACCAACTGTCATTTTAGCTTGCAATTGTAAACTAAACAAAGCCTGCCCTATGAACGGAGATTGCAGAAAAACGAATGTAATTTATAAGTGTATTGCATCATACCTAACACACCCGACAAAGCTTATATACAGTAGTCTAGGTTCAACAGAGGGCGTGTAGAAAATTAAATAGTCAAACCACAAGCAATCGTTCAAATAACAAAAAACTTAAAAGTTCAACCAGGCTTTCAAAACACCTATGGGATACCAAGGATGAAATAAAAGCAACACCCAATTTAACATGTTCCATCATAAAAAGCGCCCCCACCTTCAACAACCTTCCACCTTCAACAACTAAAACATGCCTATTATGCTTATACGAAAAACTAAAAATTTTATTGTATAAAAATCCCAAAGATTTATTAAACAAAAAAAGCGAACTAACCGCCAGTGTCGCCATGAGTACAAATTTTTGCTGGACAACTACAAATCAAAAGATTAGAAAAAAAAATGCTTCAGAAAAGATTTTTCTGACGCATTTTTTTCTTGTACAAAATTATTTTTAAAAATCAGATTTTTTACCTGATGATTGTATTCAACATGAGACTTATATTAAAAAATATACAGTTTTATTTATAAAAAATATATAAATACAGCTCTGTTTTAACAAAATTTATTTTGATTTACTTTAATTCACCAAGCACTCTCCTGAAGATATACGCAAGCCAAAATACGTATACATTACCCCTAAATTCCTTTTCCCCTCCATTACCCTTAAAGCAGCCCCCAAAATTTGATCAAGAAATGACTATCGGCTGCATTAAGTGCTTTTTTCCCCCTTTTTTGAATGTTGCCTTTAAGGGTACTCCCAAGAAAAAAAGAACCTTAAACTCTTACTTTTTAAATTAAAAATTTGTTTAAAATGATGTTTATTGGATACAATACGATATCTCTTACATAGCATTGGTTTTCTGAGTACTATAAAGACAGAGATGGTGAACTGAAAAAAAAAATAGCCATGACGCAATGGTTAAAAGCATGTTGTTTAATGCCGGCTCTGGCCAGATAAACAACACAAGTTTCCTCCTTAGATTCCCCTCCAGCTTTTGAAGGAAAAACATTTTTGCATTTTTATAAGACAAATGAATATTGGATTGAATATTGCCATCAAAATTTATAAAAATTTGTTTTTAAATCTTTTGTATAACATTTAAAAAGCGTCGAACATGTAAAATAATAGTTATTTTAATTTAAAACAGATAAAACAATAAATTAATTAAGTTACCATAATAAATCACTGTATTAGTTTGACCAGCCAGATCAGTTATATTTTCAATTATAGAAAACCAATTAAAATTATTACCAGAGTAATTAACATAAGGATTGTATTTAGAATCAATTGGTGGGTAATTGTAAACATCAGCTAAAGGAGCTAATACAGAAGGAAATAGAGTAGATGCAATAACTGTTTTATTCCACGTGGGCCATAACATTTCCTTGTTAAAGAAGAGAATGAAATCCGCAATTGTATATGTTCCTTTATAAAAATCTCTAAAAAGATTTTTAAAAATAGCATAAAAAAATTTTTAAGGTCTCAAAAATAGTCAAAGTAAATTTTTAAAAAACAAAACGTTTAACGCTGATCTCCGCTCATTTCAATTCATCTCCGTCTTTTCGTATTTTTCCTTTGTAAAAACTGTGAAATTTTGTAATTTTAAATTTTTTTGGCTTATATTTGCTGCCTTATTACCTCATACAATTTATCTCATTTGTTTGGCTCACCTCATATTTGTTTGGCTTACCTCATATTTGTTGCAGTTGCGTCTACATACTCATTTTCTTCACTTGCATCACTGTATACTTTTTTCAACTAAGCAAAATTATAATAGTACATTTATTAATACAACAAGTTGCTTCTATTTACAAAGTAATTTTATTTATAGCCTTATTTGGTTTTAAAATTACTTTCAAATTAATGCAACACACCCGTCTTCTAATTTTGTCAGTAAAACAATGGAAATCATCCGAATCTGTATCATTGAACGCATCCCTCCAGTTTAACTCCGGAAAAAGAAAAGATACTGTAAAGTTGTGAGGAATTTGTTTTGGAACTGAGGTTAAATATTTTGGTACATCTTTTAGTATTTGCTCTGTTACAAAAGTGTAAGTAAGTTGATTAGGATCCACGACTAAACAAGCTACTTTTTTAAACGCAGTAAGCAAAACAATGAGTAGCAAAACTTTGACAAACATAACTCTATAACAAACCATTTTAAAATTCAATCTAGCAATAACTAAATCTTAAAATCATTTACGAAACAGTTATTTCATAAATTTATTTCAAACATGATTAATATAAATTTAGTAAATTATACATTACAAATTTAGTAAATTATACATTACAAATAATCATTTTTGAATGAAATGCTGTGAAATCATCAAAATAGGAATTCATAAAATCCTGTGAAATTTTTAAATTACGTATTAATATAGTTCTGCGAAATTTTTAGATTATAAGTTTCTAAAACCCTGAAAAAATTTTTTTCATCAATATAATATTAAAATATTTAGTATAATATAGTATAGTATATAATCAATTATAATATTTGTATCTATTTTTATATAAAATTTCAATGTACTGTTTTATAATATTTATTAACTATATCATAATACATATTATTAGTTAAAGTTTTTGAAAATGAAGTACATATCTAGAATGTGACTGGGGTTGAAATTTAATTGGGACTGGGTGTAATAAAAAAAAGCCGGTACCGGGTTTGTGACTGAGGCTGCATAAACATTAAAACGTCCTAAAGTATATTTTTTAATCCAAAATTTATGTCATGTTTATATATATATATATATATATATATATATATATATATATATATATATATATATATATATATATATATATATATATATATATATATATATATATATATATGCATATTTATATATAAAACATCATGATAATTATAATTATCATCATCATCACCCGTTTTATGCTATTTTTCTAATACAATCTCGAGCATCTTCTTTCCTTAACTAAAGCTCATTCATACCACTCTCTCCAAGTTTTCTTACTTCTAGCTCTTCCATTTTCTCATGCAACCTCTTCTGCTATCTTTCTACATGCTACAAACCAAAACACTATAATCTTTTCTGACAAAAGTTGTTCGATGCAATTTTTTTCTAATCTCTGTTTAAGGTTATGGCTCCTTTTTCATTTTATTTTTTGGGTAATAATACTAAATTTTATAAATACTAAAGTTTATATAAATATTCAAGGGTATTTTTTGCCACCAAATAAATCCATATTATATATGCATAAAGGCGCCTTTTACCTCCTGAATCTAAACAGGTATAGAAGCTTTTTTTCTTTCTCGTTGGTTTAAAGTCAAGCCTCATTCTACTTTTTGTTTTTCACCTTCTTGAGCAGTTGCTATTTTTAACCGTAATCATTTTTTTCATATTTTTAACAAAGACATATCTCATCAGAACAAATGTCTTTTTATTATTGCAAGAAGTCAATGTAAAGAGATTCTTAGTTTATAAAACTTTGCATCTCAGATGTTAGGTTCTAGAGAACTTTGGAAAATCTTCAACAGTGTTTTTAAATAAAGTAAATCTAACATGCCATCTCTAGTTTATGGTTCTGATCTTATTGCTTCTCCCCAGTCTATGGCATAGTTGTTGAATGCAATGGCTAAATTCCTCCTGCCAATCCAGTTAAACAAGTTTATTCATCGTTAGACATACAAATCACTCTTGCTTCTAATGCTAAAATTATTTCTAAATTAAACTTATCTACGGCTTGTGCTTTTTTTTCTTCAGTTTTTGCTAAATTAATAATAAATGCTAAATAAATGGTTCCAACTTTAAAAAAACACTAGAAATCACACTTATTTCTCCAATTATCGTCCAATAAGTCTTCTCTTTATAATTAGTTTCAAAACATAAAAGTTTTGAGATTATTAAATCATTTCTTTCTAACCACAATTTTATGTCATTCCAAAATGCCTACACTCTTTTTCATTTCCAGTACATTTTATTTTAAATTTAAAGATATAATAATAATAATTTAAACTTAATAATAATAATAGTAATAATAATAATAATAATAATAATAATAATAATAATACTAATAATAACAATAATAGCAATAATAATAATAATAATAAAATTAATTTAAATGAATTATAATAATACCAAACTTTGTATAAAAATACATACATATATATATATATATATATATATATATATATATATATATATATATATATATATATATATATATATATATATATATATATATATATATATATATATATATATATATATATATATATATATATATATATATATATTTAAAGATCAATGTGGGGTTATACACATTTGGTCAACGTTGATCTTTATACATTAGATCAATGTTGGATTTAAATTGGAAAAACATTCAACTTTTGCGATGTTTTTAGATACGTTGGTTTGGTAACTATTTTCAAACACGTCTCTATTAAAATATAATACAACTAACATTGGATCAACGTTGTATTTATATATATATATATATATATATATATATTATATATATATATATATATATATATATATATATATATATATATATATATATATTTGCATCGGAGAAAACAGCCGAAATTCGCGATATATTTACATTCGTTGGCTCAACGTAACTGTACTAGCTGGGCTTTTTATAATTTCCCTTTTTGAGCATCTTTAGGACATTGCCCTGTGGATTTGCTTCTAACTGTTTTAAATTAAACTAAAAAACGTTCTTAATTTTAACGTGACTATAGACTAAGGCTAGGACTATTGTATTTGTAATAAAAACAATAACAGTAACAATAACTATTGTTATTGTATTAACTTAATTTAGAAACAATAAAAATATTTTTAATTTACAATTATTGTAATACTGTAGTACAATAACAATAAATATTTTGCATAATTGCATATTCATATAATTGCAATTCATCTTTATAAAACAATAACAATATCTGAAAAAAAAAAAGCATTGTAATGACCCACTACAATAACAATAAACATTGTATTGCAATCCGTGTTTATTATACAATAACAATATATTGCTATTATATTAAAAAAATAATTTCAGTGTCAAAATTTAATAAATGTTTTAACAATCCAGTCTCTGAGATAAGTGACCTTGAAATAGGGTACAACTAATATATAAGTATTGATACTGTTTCTTTTTTCTTTTTTGAATATCACTTGTCCTCATTGCAAACTTTATATAGGTCTATAAAAGTGAGTTTAATCGGGCCTGTATTTCTTTTACTGCTGGGGATAGACATGACTAATTATTACCATTTCTTCCACTAAGTCATTTGCTTTTACATTTGGCACCTATCTAATTGTTTCGAAACTTACTTAACTCACACTTACTCTAATATAACTTTTGTTTTCCTTCGGCTTTATGGCTGTATGTATTTCATAAAGTAACAGGACATCTAGTTGCTAAGTTATAAAAGAGTTTTATAACATAAATCAAGAGCAATATTTATTTGGTGTTCTAAACTGCTTTATTTTTCAAAAATGGTCCACACAAAATTTACTGGTAAGGTCTGATAGGTGATGAACAATCTGAAAATGTAAAAATTTTTTTAACAAAACAAAAGTAGTTCACATTTTTAGACAATCTAATCTATAATTACCCAGGGCAATCGTTCTCTGATTCAATAACGATGTAATAGATTACACATTAGCGGTTAGATATATTAAAAAAAAATTACTTTCACGCGTTTAATGTAGTTAATCAATTAGTTTAGACGTCATCATCCGGTGAAGCGTGTCAATATCAGTTAAGACAAAATTACGAAAATATCTAAATTTTCACTTCTTAGAGTAAATAATTATTTAATTACAAACAAATAATAAATTATATATATTTGTATGATTTTGATTATTATTTTAATGTTAATTCTAAAAAAATTATTATTTAAACAGTTATATTATTGAACTCAAAATAAATAAAATTTATATATGTAAATAGTTGCTAGAAACGGGTGCCACGTGCGCCCCTGAACCTAATATTTGTTAAGTATACGTAATATATATATACTTCTTTGGCTTTCCTGGCTTCACCTTACTTCTCAAAATAAATAAAATTTAAACATATGAATGCTAAAAACGAACGTCACGGGCACCGCTAAATTATCTAGTGCCCAAATAATAATAAATGCGTGAAAAAAAATCTAAATACTATAAAATACACAGTACTTATTGTAATTGTTTTTATCCCAGCAATACAATACAATAGTTATTGTAATTGTTTTGCGTCACAGCAATACAATACAATAGTTTTAGAGCTTCAATGTATTGTTAGAAAAAAAAAAACAATACAATAGCTATAGTAACTGTTTTTATTCACAGCAATACAATAACCATAAATAATGTTTTAATTGCATCTCTGGTATTACAATACAATACTATTGTATTGTAATTGTTATTGTATCTAATTTTTACAATAACAATAACAATAATCCTAACCCTACTATAGACCAAAAGAACTAAAATTTTTACAAAATGTTTAAATCTATAATTTTCATAAAAAACATGTCTTTTGTAATAATGTTCTCCACCAAATAAGTAAAATTAAACAAAAAGTTATATGCTGGTAGTTGTAGGTCTTTTTCTTACACTTCCTGGACAAATGTTCTATTGTCTAAATAACTTTGCAACAGTTTAAATAATATTAACATTGATCAAAGTCCTCGTTTAAAAATAGCATTTAAGAACTTGAGATTTTGCAAGTAGTCCATAGTAAGATTTTTAATTTTTTTCTTTTAAACAACTAATTGTTTATCTTGCAGACCACATATTATACGGACATATCTTTTTATTTTTTTTAATACAGTTTTTTTTTTTAAATAAGCAGAGGAAATTGTATTAAACAAAAATAAATTTACATTCATTTTTTTAAAACCTAAAGTTATAGATTGTCAAAGTTGAGTTTATATTTTTTAACTTCGATTTAGTTTAAAAAACTAATTCGCCTTAGCTACATTGAGTAGTTTGTTTATTTTATATCTTATAGCGTAAACACAATTTTTTGATAATGCGGTGCAAATTGAATTTTTTAAAACTTTATATATCTAACTATAGTAAAAATTTTCTTTTTTATTTATTTATTTTGTTATTATTTTCAAATTAACTATGATGATTGCGACAAACGCAATCAATTTTTTATCAATATAGTATTAAATATGAAAGCAGAAAATACTTAAGACTTTACATATATTGCGACAACTAAAAACTATAAATAACCTTGTTCTCTAGCATCCTGTATGAGATTTACTTGACATCTGTTCTTTTTTTATTTAATCTTATGCTAACACTGAGTCAAATAGTTTTTCCTTATTTCTCTTGGGCTATTACCGCCTAAAGTAGTCCAATCAATACATGAGCCCTGTTAGTTGTACAAACATACACAAAAATATCAAATAATAAACAAAAAATATACAAATGAAGAATTATTTTCCTATTCATATTAATAAAATATATAATATGAATCTCGGTTTCTATAAGTATTAATAATAAATGAAAGATACATGCAAAGTAAAATATTTTAAACCGTCATAAAAGTCTTTATACGATTTAACATTTTACATAATATTTTCAGAAATGTTTTCAGTTGCATTAAAATAAATTTTTACTTTCAGACATTCCAATATGATGGATAAAAAAAGTAAGCACATATTACAAAAACATTTACAAAATATATAAAATTATTTATAAATATTTTCATCAATTTTAAAAGGTAATGTTTTTATATTTTTGTATAACACCTTTTTCTCAGGATTTGATTATCATAATTTTGAATTTAATATCGCAACCAATAATTAACAAGTCAATAATACGTAACAAGTTAGGTAAACTCGGTGTTAAGCGTAATAGAAATGTTTGTATCTTACGTCTGAGTAAAAATTAAATAAGTTTCAACAACAATAGTGCCAATTGGTTTTCTCTGGAATATCCAATAATAAAATACTCTGCAAAAAAAACAATAAACCAAGAAAATAAAGTAAAGTAGTGACTCACAATATATTTGAGAGAAAAGTTTTAGAAGAGATGTTTTAGAAAATCTATGCTATCAAAACGGACCGCGTGATTTTATGGGATTAACAAGAATACAAAATAAACCTTTGTGAACAATCGTTTCACCTACATTCAATCTATCTTTAAGTTCATTAATTAAATAATCTAGAAAAGGACATCTAATACAATGTTTGAAATAGCCTAAATGTTAGAGGAACAATTCAGTTTTTTATGTATTATTTCATACACATTAAAAATGTGTATAAAGCTAGTAATTTTTACTGTTTTAATTTTAACGTCATTTGTAAAGAGAAGTGAAAACAAATATGGGATGTTTTTTACAGTATGGATGAAAGAGAGACCATTATTTTTTCAATAATAAGAGAAAGATTTATTGATTTAAACATTCTTATTTAGACATTTAAACTTACTTTTTGAGTTTTTCCAAAAACCTGATTGTTTTTAGTCTGTTTGTAGCAAATGTTATTATTTTTTATAATATAAGAATAAAAAGCTATAATAATTTTAATGTTTATGTAAATTACCAAATAGAATTATAATTCTGCAAGTCTTAAAAGAATTTTAAATAAGGAAAATTCTAAAAATTAAATTAAAAATTAAAAAATTTAAAGCCTAATTCTACAAATTTTGCGCAACTATTTAGTTGTTAGTTTATTTTTAAAACATGTAATTATGAAACCTTTGCAAAGTGGATATGTATAAACTTTAAGTGGATATGAATAAACTTTAAGTGGATATGTATAAACTTTAAGTGAATACTATACCTGAAAATTCTTAGTTATTGATATTTCTGGTTTAGGTGAAAAAAATATCATTAACTTGTTTACCTCATTTAGAAAATTGAAACACTATAGCAAAAAATATTTCCAAAGTATTTTACTTCAAAAAAAAAATATTGGCCTAACAGAATGTTTTTTTACAATGATAGTAATAGTTTAGAATTAGTGAAGAGCTCATAGAGTATATGAGAAAATTACATGATTTATCAACTAAAGATGTCACTTTTGTTTTCTAGAGTTGGCTACATGACATGAACTGCAAAATGAAGTTTACAAGTTAATCCAGTTGCTTAATTAAATAACTGGATATATTAAAAAAAAAGAAAAAATTAGTTATGGAATCATAAAAAACTAACAAACTCAACAAATGCTTTAAAAATAAGTTACAGAAGTGATAAAAGAAACAAAAGTTTCATTTTAAAAATAGCCATTTTGTAATATTTAGCAGAGATTTGTGTACTTTTATTTACTATCTTGATTGCTTGAAACTGATTCTACTCAATTTTCTTTAATTTTTTGATGGGCTGTTTTTTTATGACTTTTATTTACTTTTGGTATGGCTTTTTGTTGTTGGTTCTATTGTTGGTATGCCATCGTCATCTTCCATTCAGCTGATTTCTTTATGAAAGCTGAATCTTTAGGTTTTTAAAACTATGGTGCTGTTTTGGAATGTAATATTTATTGCATAGGGAAAGGACTTTTTTTTTTTCCAATTAAGTTATCCCTTTTAGAGCAAGATAATTTTGCCTTTGTAAGGGCAAATTAGTAGCTGGTTTTATGCAACCAGTGTTTTTTGATTGAAAAAATACAACTTCTATGACCTTCTTCATAACCGTACTTAAAGTAAGGAACATCGGGGTTTTCTTTTATAAATTTAAGCTGAACAATACTAGCCCACATAACTTTTTTCTGGTTTAGATTTTTTTGTACCTTTTGCTTTGATTAGATTTGGTATTTGAAACTTTTCTCCTACAACTGCTGAATATGCTGGAAATGCTTTTTCTTTTGAAAGTTATTTATAATATCATGAGTAAACATAGTTAGTAGACAGGCTTTTTTAGGTTGTTCTATTGTTGTTCCAACTGCACTGGTGTGTTGATTGTTATTTCAATAATGTTTTTCAATTGTTGAGTGGGCTGCATCATTTTCAATCCGGATATGTCCTGGTACAAAGAAGGTAAGATCTAAATAATACAAGAAGACACAAAGATACAAAGAAGGTAAAATCTAATTTAAATAGAGTCAATGCATCTAATCACATTATATTATACTTTGATTTTACCCCTGCCCCCTCCCCAACTCCACATTGATTACAGAAGAAATAAAGTTGGATTGCATCTAGTTTGCTTTCAGATTAAATAAACTCAAGTATTCTAGTACTTACTTCACCGCTACCTTTTTTTCTCCCAAAAATATTATTACATCCAATTAATATTTTAATCCTAAAAAGTAAATATCAGCATCTGGTGACAAAATTAATTTTTTACTGTAGTTTTGCATGTGTTTTAAAATTTTTTTGGAGTATAAGTTATTTAAATTTTACTCATCGTTGTAAAAAATGAATCTTTTTTGGTTCCATATACATTGTGAGATGTTTTTTATACACGTAAGTATATATATATATATATATATATATATATATATATATATATATATATATATATATATATATATATATATATATATATATATATATATATATATATATATATATATATATATATATATAAACAACTTTAAAGCATCAGATAATACGAATTCTCTCAATACTATATAATTTATTTGAAATTTTTGTCCGATTATAGGCACCGGCATATAATATAATATATTTACAAAAATTGTAACTGTTAAATAACAAAAAAAAATTTAAAATTTTGACGTCACCTTAATAATGGTTTGTTTTACATAAATATGAAAAAAATGAAGTCCGAAAAGTCTTTTTTCACAATGCCATGAGGAAAAGGCTATAAAAATGGCAATGACAATGATTCCTTCAATTGATGTTAAATTTTTTCATAGATATGTAGATGATAGCCACGCTAGGTTTTCTAATTTTAAGCAAGCGGTATAACTCCAAAAAATTCTCTAACAGCATTATCCTTCTTTATAATATACTATTGAAGTTGAGAACAAAAGTAACTTTACTTACTGGATATAACTGTAATTAATAAAACACAAGAAAAATATGAGTTCAAGGTTTACAGGAAAGATGCTATAACCAATATCCAAATCAAACCTCATTCTAATCACGTTCCCAAAATTTTAAAAGCAATATTCAACAAATACATACACAGAGCCTACTTAATATGCAGCGAAAATTATTTAGAAGATGAGATTTTTTTAATTTAACTGTTTACTGAAAATGGGTATAATGAAGAAGTGCTTAAAGACGTTTTTTATCAGGTTCAAAAAAAATCTTATCAAACTTTAATAACCTTCCTACAATTTCTTTACCATAGATACCAATAATATTTCCCAGGCTTAAAATATTATTCAGAAAAGCTGGTTACAGAATTGTTTTTAAATCAAATGCTAACCTGAGAACGTTATCAAGGTCTAAAAATAAATCAAAATAACCACGCAACCGCCAACCAGGAACCTATTTAATTAAATGCAAATGCTGCAAAGTGTATGTAGGTGAATCAAAACTTCATATACGAACAAGGGTTCAACAACACCAAAAATTTTAACTGAAGGCAGGTTTAACCAGTCTGCATTAGCTCTACATAAAGTAAATTGCAATGAGGATGTTGATTGGGATAAAGCAGAAACATTTAAAGTTGAGCTTAAAAAATTTGAAGGAAAAGTCCGTGAAGCCTTGGAGATTCAAAAACATCAATGTTCTCCAATCTACGGTGATAAGAATTTGTACAATAAACAATATGTTAAAACAGATTTTCGGACTTCAATTTTTTGATATTTAAGTAAAAGAAACCATTATACATGTGACGTCAAAATTTAAAAATGTCTGTTGTTATTTAAAGGTCACAATTTTTGTAATTATAATATATTATACTGATGATGCCTGTATACAATATATAACCTCATATATATGTATATATATATATATATATATATATATATATATATATATATATATATATATATATATATATATATATATATATATATATATATATATATATATATATATATATATATATATATATATATATATATATATATATATATATATATATATATATATATATATATATATATATATATATACGAGGTTAATGCTTATCCCAAAAATGATCGTTGAAAAATAATTTTCATTAGAGTCAATTTAGAAATGTAAATAAAGATAAAAATTTTAAGTAATAGCTAATTTTGATTAATAATGAGTACTTAATTAAAAATATAGTATTTACAAAATTTAAAAAACATCACTGCATATTATTTCTAATTCATAACAAGTTTAAAACATTACAAACAAGTTTATAAATTTTCTTTCTTTACAGTTGTAGAAACTATAAAAACTGTAACACTTTGATACTGCTATTTTTTTCCATACAAGCTTTAAGAAACTATTATCTTAGTTTTGCTTGACTTTATTTGCGTTTTAGTTGATATATTACATAATGCTACAGGTTATTCGTGGTTAAACAATGTTTTAAAATAGCGTCTTTGCCACTTATAGGCCAATGCGACTTCAATCGTTTCTCTTTGTTGAACTATTTAGTACAAATTAAGGTTAGTCCGACCTTATAATTAGTGCTGTTGTTAAATTGTAAATTGACGCAAAGGTGCAGTTAGTTAAAACGCAAAGGTGCAGTTAGTTAAATTGTAAATTGAATGGGGTTGCACTAAATAGCACAATAATGGTTGGCCCCAACTTTATAGTTAATGCCAACTAACACAAATATAGTCCAACTGCAATTGGACTACAAATTCATTTTTATTAATAGACATTAATTATCTATTAACTTTTATTGAAATAATAATTAAATAAATTAATGAAAACTTTGTATAACAACTTGTTGTAATTATAATTTTCTTATTTTTAGCGTTTTTTATTTGTAGAACTTGTGCGAATGTTTACAGCTGCTGACGAGGACGGATCAGGGAATATAACTAAGGCTGAAATGAAAAAGCAATTAAAAGCTGATAGTTGTTATCCAGGAGATGATTTTTTCGCAGCTATTTTCAAGTCGATTGATAAAGACGGTAATTTTGATTATAACTGTATTTTGATTTCAGAAGAAGTTTCAAACTTAAAAAAACAGAAATTTTTAGAATAAATTTTTATTAGAAGTTTTTAATAGTTATTTACATATAAAAAGAATCGATATAGTTAAAAAAGTAGATGGCCTAAGAAAATTTCGAGTCAAAAAAAAAAAAAAAAAAGAAATTTAAAATTACTTATTAAATATAATAATTTTAGTGTTGGTGTGTAATGCAAACTAGATATTTAAAACTAAATGTATTTGTATAATATAATATAGTAATATTTATTAAATTTTTTAATAAATAATTTTTGTGGCTGGCAAGCTGATTAATTTTCATGGCAATGTGTCATCATGGCTCATATCATAATAAGAAACGTTAGTTAGTTTTTAACTTCTGTTAATACAATTTAATATTAACTTTCTTTAACAAACATTTAAAAAAAAAAAAAAGAAACAAACAAAAGAAAAAAAAGTTAAAGTTTTAATAAGATAATCAAAAATGCGAATATAATGTGAAGTAATGCAAAAAACAAGTACATTTTCAATGCTCAATGCAAGATAAACCTAAAAAAAAAAGTTATATAAATAGAATCATTATTTATTATCCATAAATAGAATTCATTATAGTTGAAGATAAAAATAATTTATACCTTTGCAATGGATACTAAAATCGGAAATTTTAGCATCCATTACAAAGGTATAAATTATTTTTATCTTCCGCATCTTCTAGCATTTACTGTATATTACTTATAGTCTTAAGTCTTCTTATATATTCTTATATAAGTCTTCTACTGTATATTACTTATAGTCTAAAGTCTTCTTATATATTCTTATATTAGTCTTCTACTGTATATTACTTAAAGTCTTTACAGATTTATAGATTTACAGTAGTATAAAGTCTTCTAGCATTTATTATATTACTTCTAGTATCCGCTCCCACCACAGCAAAGCTGGTGGTTCTTCATAAATGCTGAGATGAAGATTGATTTCCAATCTTCATCTCAAGCCAGTACTATTATCTATCAATCCCTCTAAACTTATTGATAATTTTGCTATTTCATATATTAAAAAAAGTCATTGACATTGATTACTTTATATTTTCGTACCAGTAAATTTAATTCTAGATTTTTTTGTAAGTTATCTGATTTTAATAGCAGGTTAATTCCGTGGGCAGTACATGTTATACTTTCATGATGGAGAAAAGCTTTTATAATGGTTTTAACAAACCGATTAAGCTGGTCAGAAGTGTAGGATTCCACTGGTTGAACAGTTAATGTGAAAATTAAACTCAAATTGACTTTTTTTCGGCTTGTTTCGTTTTACAGTGTGAAATCAATCGGTGATTTTTGAATCAATCGGTTACTCAAAATTCCTTCCATTTTTAAAAACAACATGGTTCAGATGGATACCGGATGTTGTAAAAGTTGAAGGGGCATAAACTTTAGATAAATAACCTTCAACAACAAGTGACTGCTCTTCAAAACAGTATCCGCAGTACAGATAATTACTAATAAAAATATTTGGATTGCATGGTTTTGTAGAATCTTTTAAGGCTGGTTGCTGCCCATGAATTCCCATGCTTTATATGTGGATGCTCTTGATTTGTGGTTAGATATAGGAATCCATCTCAAATCCTTAAGAGCGGGTTGTGTCATATATAATTATAGAAAGACTAAATGTTATAAAAAATATTGACCTTTAGTTTAGTTTGATCTCTTCATTTCTAATTCCACACATGTTTTTCTTTCCTCATTACTAAATATATGATATGTTGTTTAACATTTGCGAAAAAGTGGGATGTTATAAACTAATTTAACGATAAAATGATATAAATAAATATTTATTTATCTAGTTATGTTGCTGTCTGTAACTACTTATTTTCATAGTTATAACTAAATCATTGCTATAGCTATGATAATTTTATGGCTGGCTAAAAATAAATCGATTTTCGGCGACTGTTAGCGGCTAAAGGCTTGCGGGTCTACATCTATCATACTATGATAACATCTACCATACTATAATGGCTACCATTATACAATAATAGAAAAGTTTTTTTTTTTCACATGTAACTCATATAATGTAAAAAATGAATAAAGTCTATACTAAAGCGTCATTTAACGAACTCCTTTTGTATTTAACTACAAACTAACTTTTACTGATAAATAAATTATTTTTGTTTAAACACCGCTGTTTTATCTAAATATTCTACAGTAAGTTAAGGGTAAAAATCAACAATGTAATTTTAAATATACTTATCTTCAATACTAATTTAAAAAACTGATTTTTATTACCATTGCTTATTAACTAAATTTATTCTAATTAAATCTTAATAACAATAAATCTTTTAAATAAATCTTTTAAATTTTTTTAAAGATAAAAAAGTACAGAAAGAGAAAAACAAAATCAAAAGAAGTTGTTTTTTTGACTTGATGATGCTATTGGCAATTATCTTCTTTCGGTTCTTTTGATCGGCAATTATCTTTTTTCGGTTTTTTCTATTGGCAATTATCTTCTTTCGGTTCTTTCGATTGGCAAGTATCTTCTTTCGGTTTTTTCGATTGGCAAATATCTTTTTTTGGTTCTTTTGATTGGTAATTATCTTCTTTCGGTTCTTTCGATTGGCCTTTATCTTCTTTCGGTTCTTAGGGCACCTAAAACAAAAGTTAAAAATCAAACAAACCAAAAAAATACTTTTAATAAATTTACTTTAAAAACAATATTTAAACCCTGAAGAGACCAAAGAGTTGTTCAATTTAAATTGACTGAAGAATTTGTTTAAAATTTGATAAAAATTTAAATTGACTAAAGAATTTGTTTAAAATTTGATAAAAATGATCTTTTAAATTATTGGAGTTTACGAATTATTATTTATTACGAGTTATTGAATTACGAAAGTAATTCGAAACTATAATAGTAATAACAATAGCAATAATAAAAATAATCCGAATTCTAACATTATCACCTCCCGCATTCTAACATTATCACCTCCCGCATTCAAATATTATCACCTCCCACATTCTAACATTATCACCTCCCACATTCTAACATTATCACCTCCCACATTCTAACATTATCACCTCCCGCATTCTAACATTATCACCTCCCGCATTCTAACATTATACAACTACAAATAGTATCTCTCCAACAAATCGCAAAAAAGGCAGTTTAATGATTTAAAATGAAGTAACAAATTATTCCAAAATTTTATGCATTGGTTTGTGACCGTATTTTACTGACCAATTATTTAGAATAGATAACTTAAGGTTACTAAAAGATCAAAGGTAATAACGAGAACTATTTTAGTGGTAAACAAATTAGAGAATGAGTGAGGTAGGTTTACTTGCTTACTGTATGATTCTAGACAAATAGACAATTTGAATAATTTGAATAGATAGTAAAGGATGTCAGAATTAGAACAGTATTATTGAAAGTACTTTTTTTAAAGTCTTGTTTTGCCGGTTAGATAATCTTATATATAAACTTGTGTTTTTTTAAACGTTTTAAAAACTTTAGTACATCATAAACAATAAATAAAACAGCAAAAATATTAGCAAATACCTCAGGAAATAATACTACCATAGAATAATATAAAAAACTAAAATCAAACTAAAATAAATACTAAAATGCGACAAAAAAGAGACTCAACGTAGTTAAGGCAAATTAGAAAATTTTAAAAGAAAATTTTTACAAAACCCTCATCTTTGACGTTCTTTAACTTAGGCTTTAAGTAAAATGAAACAAATTAAAATTTATTTTTGTTTATACAACTACTTCTGCTGGTGTTTCAAAAATTTTTTTTTGTATATACAGAATTTAAAACTTTTAATAAATCTCTTTTTGAACTTCAGCTCAGTCGGTTTGGTTCAAATTCAAAAAAGTCCTTTACTTGAATATGATCAAAATATAATTTATAGATCAAAAGAGCTAGAACTTTTACAAAGTGTTTGCAAAGGTTAAAAGGTTAAAAGGTTACGAAGTGTTTACAAAGGTTAAAAGGTTACAAAGTGTTTACAAAGGTTAAAAGGTTACAAAGTGTTTACAAAGGTTAAAAGGTTACAAAGTGTTTACAAAGGTTAAAAGGTTACAAAGTGTTTACAAAGGTTAAAAGGTTACAAAGTGTTTACAAAGGTTAAAAGGTTACAAAGGGTTTAAGCTCATAAATTTCTTAGAGAACACGTTTTTTTTCACTCCAAGTTCTAATGTTGTCTACTTAATAAGTAAAAATAAAGATTAAAAATATATATGCTGATAGTTATAGCAAAGTAGTGAAAGTAAAATAATTTGAGCACCAAGCAAAGCCCTCACTTTAAAATAGCATTCAAGAACTTGAGATTTCACAGGTCTTGAAAGTAAAGCTAAAAGTTAGGATTCCATAGTATTCCAATTATATTATATTAAATTTTATAACATATAAAATCTTGATGGGCATACTAAATTTAAAATAAATATTTTAGTAAGATCTTTAGTGTTTTCCCTCTAAACAAATCTTTTATCTTGCAGACGGAAATATCTTGATTGATAAAACTAATAACCGACTGACGACAATTGCTTAAAAAGCACCTTAACTTAAATGAGGAGTTATAAATCCACAAAAGTTGAGTTACGTTTACCTCACAAATAAGTATTAAAGACTGATTTTCCAATAAAAACTAATATCTTTTAGCAACAGAAGTTAAAGACGATAATTAAAAATGATTTAATAATGATTTTTAATGTTAATAATTTACCTTGAACTTTTTAAATTATTTTCTAATAAGATATACGAAATCTAATATTTTTAATACTTAGATTCTAAAAGTTCTCCTAAGTAAAGTTTAATACAAAGTTTTGATTTCGTTCGAAAAATTTTCTAAATAAAAAATCTACGGTGTTGAACTTGGTACAAACTTGTTTTAAGATCTGATACGAGAACAATAAAGTTATTCTCTGAAAATTTGGAAGGATATTTATGAGAAATTTTATTAAAGTAAGTTTGATGCTACTGGAGATAAGTTACGC